CAATTTGTTTTGTGTTGGGTGTTCCAATTTGTTTTGTGTTGAGCGTTCCAATTTGTTTTGTGTTGAGTGTTCCAATTTGTTTTGTGTTGGACACTGCTGTAAACCTAAGCAATGTTTGTGGTGTTAGACTCCCCAGCCTGAAATATTCGGTGCTCCTCGGCTCAAGTTAATGAGTCAAAATGTTAAGTCGTAATAACATAAGCTATATACAGTTTGTACAAGTTACATATAACTTAGTGAACATCGGCACTTCAAACTCTGTAGCTAGATGCTGCTAACTTAAACTGGTCCAGCTTAAGGCACATGAAGATAACTTTGGTTCATGAGACTTCAGCTAAGTTAAAAATAGTTATAAGCTTAAATTACATATAAACGTGGTAACATTGGTACTCTGATGTACGAATATTACTAAGTTGTACTGATGTACCAATTTTATGAGGCTGTAGCTCTCTCTCTGTCTGTCTGTCTGTCTGTCTGTCTGTCTGTCTGTCTCTCTCTCTCTCTCTCTCTCTCTCTCTCTCTCTCTCTCTCTCTCTCTCTCTCTCTCTCTCTCTCTCTCTCTCTCTCTCTCTCTCTCTCTCTCTCTCACCCTCTCTCTCTCTCGCCCTCACGCGGCGCTGGGCTCTCAAAACTCCCCAAAACTCCATAGGGAAAACTATGAATAATCTCAGCGCGGGAAAACTGACTTAGTTGGAGTTAAATTTTTTGTTCCCCAAGCGTGTGGATAGGAATCTTGGGGGGAGGAGGGGATAGGGGATAGGGGTAGTTGATGGATGAGGGGAAGAGGGTGATCCATGAACAAATCCACAAGGGCCGTGACGAGGATTCGAACCTGCGTCCGAGAGCATCCCAGCATCCACACGGCCCTTGTGGATTTGTTCATTTGATGTCATTTGTGTGTCAGTGTAGTGTGAGTGTTCAGTGTAGTGTAGTGCAGTGCAGTGTAGTGTAGTGTAGTGTAGTGTAGTGTAGTGTAGTGCAGTGTAGTGTAGTGTAGTGTAGTGTAGTGCAGTGTAGTGTAGTATGTAGTGTAGTGTAGTGTAGTGTAGTGTAGTGTAGTGTAGTGTAGTGTAGTGTAGTGTAGTGTAGTGCAGTGTAGTGTAGTGTAGTGTAGTGAGGGTGATCCATCTATCTATGCTGGATAAGTCTGTATAAACTCCACGACTATCTGACAATGCCAAAAGGTTATGAGGGGCACTCATCTGTTTTCTGAGTTCGATTCCCAGTGTTATTTTTTTGTGTGAGGGTGGGCGGGATGGGTGAGATTGAAATGTTTGGGAAGTATTCGATATGAGAGAACATGTATCTCTCTGAGGGAGACGTGAGAGATAGGTAGAGATACTTGGAGGGGGGGTGGAGGAGGCGGGAGGGGAGGTTAGCTGAGGGGGGGGGAAAGACTTTGCAATGTAGGGGTGAAGGGAAACGAAGAAGTGGGGATGATGGGGGGAGTGGTTGGGATGGAGGGGATAGAAGGTTGGGTTGGAGAGAGAGGAGGGGAAGTAAGGGGTGAGAGAGGAGGGGGGGATTGATGGAGAGAGACGGGTTAGGTTGGGTAAGGTGTGGGTGGCGTAGGAGGAGGGGGGGAATAGGGATTATTAGAGGGGGGGAAGTGGGAGGTGGTTGAGGACAGCGGGGGGCAGAGGTGAAGACGGAATAGAGGAAGGGGATGAAGATGGTGGGGGTAGAAAGATGGAGGAATGTAGATGGTGGGGTAGAGAAGGATGTGCGGTTGAGGAGGGTTTGCGAGAGGTGGAGAGAAGGAGAGAAGGAAGCGGGTTGGGGGAGTGGGGGAAGCTGCCCTACGTAAAGAACCCCTAATTTGCATATATTCGCTATACAAAGTAATAATTTAAAACTGCAAATATGTGCAATGAGCCAGAATTCGGCAACAAAATAACACTCAAGACTCATACTTCCGATGGGCATCGTATTTTGAAAACTGCAGGTCAATTTGGTCAAAATCTGACCAATTGCCGTTTTCACTAATCTGTATATTTTCGGTAAAAAAATAGTGTCTCAGAGCAACACATGGCAGCAGAGGGGACAGGCAGCCACTCTGCATGCCCCGAATGGTATAAGATATACCATATGAAATTGGCTTCCCTCTTCACAGCACAAACACGTGTCCACCTCTCTCTCTGTCTCTCTCTCTCTATATAGTTCTCTCTATATAGATATAGTTCTCTATATCTTTCAAGTTTCTCTATTATATCTTTATCTCTAACACACACACACCATGGGGGGAATTTGGTCTCCGAGCGGGACCAAAGAGCCAAAGCTCAACCCCCGCAAGCACAACTAGGTGACTTCAAGTAGGTGAGCTCAAACCCACACATGTACACACACACCCATGCACAAACACACACATACACCCACCCACACACACACACACCCACACTCACCCCCCCCACACACACCACCCACACTCCCTACACCCCCCCTCCCCACACACACACACCCACACACACACACACACACACACTCACCCCCCCCCCACATCCCCTCCCACACACACAAACACCCTCACAAAGAGCCCAAACACACACATTCTACAAGCAATTAAAGCCAACATTATGTCAATAATAACAGCGATTCCCAGATCATAAAAATCTCTTCAAAGTCACTAATGGTAGAAGTTTGTACCAGCTTTGGACCTATTATCACAAATTTTTAAGTAAAATTTTCACCTCCATTAAAACTTAATAACGAGATTCTGGAGCTATAATTCCAGTCTGGAAGTTTGCAATCCAATTTATGTGCAACAAATCCCTGGCATTAAACTCTAGGGCGAAGTTGGGTGTCGGCCCATTGTCCAGTAAGCACGTAGGGAGAATGGTCAGTGAGAGAGAGAGAGAGAGAGAGAGAGAGAGAGAGAGAGAGAGAGAGAGAGAGAGAGAGAGAGTCGTTTTGTCCAGTCTAATTAGCCTCTTATTTATAATTAAACTTTTATGTTCATTGTTTGAGAACAATGATTTTTTTTTGTCCAGTCACTGTTTTAGTCCAGACTGCTTTAAACAAAAGTCCAAAACACAGTCTGGACTAAAATCAATGTCCGGACTATCCAGACTAGGCCTAATGCACACGCCATCTTAGGGGTCATTTGAGTACATATATGTGTGTGCTATATTAGGCCTAGGAAGCCTTGGATGTCGTTACCAATATTTCCTCGTGTCACCCATAAAATGAACAATATAAAAGGTGTTCACATTGAACACCTTTCAAGGATTGAACACCTATTGAGGATTTAGTTGTATGTATTGTATGTTCGACCAATAGTTGCAATATATATATCATTTTTAAACGACAGGTTGAATATATATATATATATATATACTAACACATTAAAAAAATGACAAACTCACAAGTTCAATTACAATTCACCCCCATCCCTGTCTATCCAACTACCTCTACCCACCCATCCCTACTCCCAACCATCTCTTCACAGTCCCTATCTCCTCCCTAAATCTCATTTCTCCTGCTCCCACAACCCCCCAACTCTTCCTCATCTCTCCATATCCTATTCATCATCCCTTTCCCATCTCCAACCCTAATATCGCTCCCTGTCCTCCAACCCCATCCATATACTCCACTTCTGTATCCTTCCCCCTCTCTCTCTCCTACCCTCACCCCCTTCCTGAACCCCCCTTTCCATAACTCCATTCCACCCCCACATAAACTCACGTAATCCCACCATTGTATTCAGATATCGTCTGACAATTCTTCACCATTCGAGCGACGTAACTTTGTAGTTATTCTTAACAAGAAGTTTGTGAATCGGTTCGTGAATTTAACCAAAATAAAATGCAACGTGAAAGTGGAAAACAGATGCAGCAAGAGGTTTTAAATATTCAAAAAATTACATAAAGTTCGTGGATGCTTTTGAGGGTTAAGGTAGTGGATTTATTTTGTTTAATCCAGCTTTAGAGCTGTGATGGAGGTAGTTTTGATGGAACTAGTAGTGATGGAGTTAATTGTGATGGAGTTAGCTGGGTTGGGGAGGATATCATGCAAAAATTACCCATTAAAAAGTAAGAATTGTTCCTAAAAAGATCAGAATTACCCCTTTGAAAAAGGTAAGACTTATCACTAGAAAGGTAAAGACTAGCTTTAGAAAAATAAGAAATACCTTTAAAAGCTAAAAATTACCCTTAAAGTGATAAAAATTATTCTACAAATGTTCGAAATCCTCTGTCTCCTTTCTCCTTTATCCTCCTTATAAATCCTTTATCCTCTGTCTCCCAAGAGGAGACAGAGGATAAAATGTAAATGTCACTTTAAGTGGCATTTACACTTGTAAAGTGAGGTTCACTTTCCTCATGTAAAGGGAGGTTCACTTCCTTAAATTGTTGTTATTGTTTAAGATTCGCTACTTGGAACAAAACGATCCAAGTAGCACGGGCTATGGTGAGCCCGTAGTGGACTTACCTGGCACAAGAGAGGGGCTGTGATCTTTACAAGTTGTTATTCTTGTTGTTATAGATTCAGCTACTGGGAACAAACAGTTTCTTCCTTAAGTGTGTTCCTCATATCTCAAGTCTTTTACCTCCGGAGGAAATAGAATGGACGAAATTATAACTGGTTTCCATTTTCTTGATGTTCTATGGGTGTCTGCTGCAAGTGATGTTTTCTCGTGAACTAGTTTAATATGTGTTCTCTATAAAGCATACTGAACGATGCCTTCCTGAAATGTCAGATAACAGTGTTTTCTTTCGACTTGAGAATGGTCCAGGACGGACCGAAACGTCGTCGTCCCTTCAACTTCTAGTGTGTGGTTTGGTCAACATACTTCAGCCACGTTATTGTGACTCATCGCCTGCAAACAGTGTTTTCACCTAGATGCACACACCTAGATGTGCTTGCAGGGTTGAGTATTAGCTCCCTGGCCTCGCCTATCCCGTTAATTTACTTCCTTTCCGCCATGTTTCTTGTCGCATTTTCTTTTGAAGTTGCTTCTGCAATCTATTCCTAAAGACCGTTCCATCTAATTGCGACACGCTAACAAGCTTCTTTCTGACATCTGTAAGACACAGCTGCGAGACACATTTGTGGGACACATCTGTGTCTCTTAGTAACAGATGACACCTGTGGCATCTTGATATCATGGGCTCCTTTTAACCATTGATTCTGTATATAAAATCATAACGTTATATACCTTATATAATATATAACATCCTCAGTATCTTAAAAGGTAGGGAAATTTATGAGGAGAAAGTGGTAATTTAGAATGACTATCTTAGGTTATCGGGAATCGAACGCCGACCTTGCAAGAAGCGAAGCATTCGCTCTACCCACCAGTCCAAGTGGACTTGAAAGTTATCACATCTACATCTATCTGTAGGCTTATTTTCATTTGTCTGTTTCTGCTTGTCTGTCTATCTTTTTCTGTATCTGTCTGCATGTCGGTCTATGTCTCTGTATGTCTCATTCTCTTTTACGGGATCACCATAGCCCGTGCTACATGGACACTTCGTCCTGAGCAGCTAAATCTGAAACAACAACAATCATTCTCTTTCTTATTCTGTCTTTGGCTTTCTGCTTGTCTTTTTTCTGACTTTCTCTCTCTCTCTCTCTCTCTCTCTCTCTCTCTCTCTCTCTCTCTCTCTCTCTCTCTCTCTCTCTCTCTCTCTCTCTCTCTCTCTCTCTCTCTCTTACAAAAATAATATAATAATTTCCCATTGGCGTGCTGGTGGTCCATTGGCGGGAGGAGCCTAGCAGTGAGAAATATTAAAAACATACACGTTTCCCATTGGCACTGAAAAAGGGGTTAATGGGGCTTCAAAGAGATAGCCTTTGAAGCTTTGGAAAGGTCGTTATGCTACTACTATAATGGGATAGCAGCAAATGCCAAAATCAGTCGTGGGGGTTAATATGTGACACTGGCACGCTGCTCTCTCTTGAATTATGGCGACTCCCCCCTCCCCTCTACCAGCCTATTTCCGTCCCGTACCTTAGACGGTTCCCCCTGCAAAATTGGGTGAGGCTAGCCTCAAGCGTCTAGTCTCCAACCTTTTACAGACAAAAAACAGACATTATCTCCTATTGATATGGATATATAGATCGTTCTAGCGGTTATATTTGTTACGCATTTTGGTCCATGGAGCGATGCAGTTTGAACTCCCATCCATTGTAGTGCACATTGCCTCATGTGCATACGTGCACAGCACCAGCAGGTGCCTACAAATGTCTTTATCATCCAGATATTCACAAAAAGTAGTATCTCTGTCATCCAGGTGTTGAGAAAAACATGTGTCTCTGTCATCCAGATGTCAATAAATACAGGTGTCACTGTCATCCAGATGTTAATAAAACAGGGGTCCCTGTCATCCAGATGTCAATAAAACAGGTGTCACTGTCATCCAGATGTTAATAAAACAGGGGTCCCTGTCATCCAGATGTCAATAAAACAGGTGTCACTGTCATCCAGATGTCAATAAAACAGGTGTCCCTGTCATCCAGATGTCAATAAAACAGGTGTCCCTGTCATCCAGATGTCAATAAAACAGGTGTCACTGTCATCCAGATGTCAATAAATACAGGGGTCACTGTCATCCAGATGTCAATAAAACAGGTGTCACTGTCATCCAGATGTCAATAAAACAGGTGTCACTGTCATCCAGATGTCAATAAAACAGGTGTCACTGTCATCCAGATGTCAGCAAATGAATGAAACCTCCCCCCCCTTACCCGTCAAACAGGTGAAACAAACGTTAAATCTTTGTCACGAAGGTGTAAACAGGAGTCAAATCTTCGGGGGATAAAGAGTCAGAAGTTTCCACAGGAACAAATCCACAAGGGCCGTGACGAGGATTCGAACCTGCGTCCCAGACACTGCCTTAATCGACTGAGCTACGATAGGGTAGCTGTCCACACGAATTATATAAACAGAAACATCCGGGGCACAGACACTAGACTTGCGTCCTACACATCAACATTCATTAGACTTGCGTCCTACACATAAACATTCATTAGACTTGCGTCCTACACATAAACATTCATTAGACTTGCGTCCTACACATAAACATTCATTAGACTTGCGTCCTACACATAAACATTCATTAGACTTGCGTCCTACACATCAACATTCATTAGACTTGCGTCCTACACATAAACATTCATTAGACTTGCGTCCTACACATAAACATTCATTAGACTTGCGTCCTACATATAAACATTGGAAAGTCTCACTTAGTATGAAAATCTTTTGCATAAAGTCTGGCGTTGTCACAATATATTACAGTCTTTTTAAAACGCAAAATATGGAAATATTTCTCCATTTTTCTTTGCTAGATAACCGGATATTATCAATAAATGTTTGGAGAGTCACTGATAAAAATGCTTATGTAATTTTACAAATTCAAGGAAAATAATACAATGACGATATCCAACCAAAAAATAAAGGTCAGGTGCCTCTATTTTTTCACACAAAAGTTTAACGAGGCGGTTTTCTGCATCGCTGCCAAATGATTCAGCCTCTAGTACGAGTATTTTAGTGTTAATAACATATTTTTTTTCAATTTATTTCTGAACGTTATGGTAACTTTTTTATTTCAACTTATCATTAAACGTTTCTCCTAGTTGTTTAAGATTCAGCTGCCAGGAACAAACAGTTCCAAGTAGCACGGGCTATGGTGAGCCCGTAGTGGACTTACCTGGCACAAGAGCGGGGCTGTGCGTTTCTCCAAGTTATGATTTAATTTATACTACATTGAGAAAATCAGTAAGAGGGCCTTGAAAAGGATTCGAACCTGCTCCTCATGCCAACTATACCGATTTTTCTCCCTTGTACATCACGCTAATACGATTGCATTGTGCATGTACTACATAACAATACAATAAGCGTTTACGAGTGTATTTTATCACTGAACGCTTCGTTCTGAAATGTTTTAGCAAAATGTTAGGGGGGACATTTTTAGAAATTGAATGTTCTCATATATAACCGATGAGGATTCACTTTTAAGCTTTAAAAACACGGGATGTTATAGCAACTGTTGACCACAAGAGAATTTGCTAAAGTTCAAGTTAATGTAATGTTGTTTTAAATAATTTATTATGTTACTCGTTTTCTCACATGATAAATGCAAGTAATAAGAGCTGGCCGCAATAACAGAGGCAACATGACACTAGGGGGGAGGAACACGTGGAAATTAATTATTGAGGGATTGAAAATCCAATTTAGTTTCCTGTGCTAACATCCGCATCAACTATGTGTTTATCGTTCCCATCCCACCGCTGCCACCATTGCTTAACCTAACCTAACCTAACCTAACCTAACCTAACCTAACCATCCCACCGCTGCCACCATTGCTTAACCTAACCTAACCTAACCTAACCTAACCTAACCTAACCTAACCTAACCATCCCACCGCTGCCACCATTGCTTAACCTAACCTAACCTAACCTAACCTAACCATCCCACCGCTGCCACCATTGCTTAACCTAACCAACCCCTACCATCTTCACTATCACCACTGTAGCATCACCATCACTGCGACCTTCAGTATCACCATCAACCACTGCCCAAACCTCAGCCACTAATATCAACATCACTATCACCACCATCATGATCTTCACCACTGTCTCGTGTAGCATCTCACCATCCATCATTGTTCAATACGTCCGTGATGAACCCACTAACATCCCCAACATCGAAGCCATATTCACCATATAAAAATTCAGAACTTCATGACGCGGGGACGCTATGCCCCGATATCATCTCAAGATAACCTCAAGATAACGTAAGTTATAATGCAACATGAGCAACAGGACCAGCATCAGGGAAATATAGAACTAGACTAGTTCTCGTAAGGAACTGTTAGATGAGTATTGTTAACAAGCCACTCACCCTTCCGGATAAAGCAAGATTTACTCACCTTTCCGGATAAAATAAAAGATGAGAGAGAGATGAAAGATGGAAAGCGAGGAAAATAGTGAGAGGAGTATGATAAAATGCGAAGGAAGATGCGATGGGAACAGAGATGGTAATAAACACAAAAACAAACAAAGACACTAGAAAAACAACAATATTAGCAAAAAAAATATAAAAATCTCATCTACTGACTCATTACTTCCCAGCAAACTAATGTTCTAATATATATATATAGATATATATATATATATATATATATATATATATATATATATATATATATATATATATATATATATATATATATATATATATATATATATATATATCGCGGAAAACCACATGTGAAAAAAATAGAGAATGCTAAATGCGTTTTCGGCTCAATTCAAATTTTTCGGCTCAATTTCAAATTGAGCCGAAAACGCGTTTAGCAATATCTATTTTTCACATGAGTTTTTTTCCGTATGAAAAAATTCATGAAAACTTGGCTTATTAGGCAAATCGGGCCTTGCATAGTAGGCTGACAAGTGCGTTCTGGCTACTAGGTACGACATATTTACGTTGTTAAATATGACCGAAAAGGTAAGATTAATAATTCTAACACGAATTTTTTCAATATTTCTTATGTTTCTTTTCACGGTCGATAGTAATTGAAAAATCAATTCTCCAAAATTCATTTTTATTTCTAGTCTGACGCGACGCCTGAACGCGTTTCGTAGTAACTTATTACATTTTCAAAGACTTTAGTTTACACATACAACTGTAAACTGTAAACACGCTAATCCGTCATACATATACTCGCATTTGGGTGAGGTGATATGGTACAACAGTTTTAGGTGAGGTGATATGGTACAACAGTTTTGGGTGAGGTGATATGGTACAACAGTGAGGTGAGGTGAAGAAACTTGTGACAAACACAAGACAAAACACGAAACTATGGGTATTAATTGGATATGAGAACATAAGAATGGAAGTAACTGCAGAGGGCCTATTGGCCCATACTTCCTCTTGATGCTTCTATATTGTTTCGAAGTATTGAAGTGGGTAGAATATAGTTGTCAAAGTCAACACCAGCAATCAACAACCAATTAATGCACAACTATATTCTACCCACTTCAAGACTCCGATCCAATATAGAAGTCCTATAGACATTCTATAGGACAAAATAAAAAAAATAAAAAATAGAAGCGCAAACATTGCAAACACAAACTTTCAAATTTTCAGAAATATAATGCATAACTCACCCTATTACAGTCAACCAATTTCAACCAATTAAATTCAAGATATTGCCCAACTTCATCTCTGGAATTTCTTACAATTTTCGTATCCTTTCTCAACAAATTTGGAAATTTAAGAAATTTAAAAAATCTTTTAAAATCTTCGGAGACATTCAACGCGATCTTCGTCTCGATGTTGAAACAATCGTCATTCTAACTTTTTCTACTGGCAAAGTTAAATATATTTTTTTACATTTATCTCTATCTCGATCTATATCACGTTGAAATGGAAAGTCAAGTGAAGAGTAAGTTTCTTGTGATCAAGTTGGGACTTGCATCATCTCTCATGTTGCAGGTCGGAGCTCGATCCCCCGATGGTCCAAGTGGTTAAGCATCTTTTTTCTCTCCTTGTCCTCAAAAAACTTCCAAGTGCTTCATTATCATGTTAGGTTACCGGTTTCTCCCGATCATTACTTTACCTCTCTTGAGTCTCCTTGATTACTCAAATTAAAATTTTACCTTGAGCTCTACCTTAAACCTAAGTTAGACCTAACTTAAACCTAAGTTAGACCTTACATGTTAGAACATGTAACCTAATGTTGTAGTTGAGCTTCTTAATTAGAGTTTTATTATAAACTGTTACTTAGAGATCAAACTTTGGATGTTTCCTGATCGATTGGGTGAAAATTTTCAGACGTGAATGAATAACCAGCCAAACACACACCGAAACTACAACGTTGGTACAACGTTCGAACAAGTTTTAACACTTCCTAACCAGTTATAACAACCAATATAACAAGTTGTAACAAGCGGAAAATAGAGACAGTTACGGGTTTGTGTTTTCAGGGAAGGCAGCAAACATTTTACCACCTACAGGCTAGTTATGATGAAAACTGAATCATTTTAGTTTATTAAGTTTATCCAGTATGATGTGTCATGATTTTTCGCATTGTATTTTAAAACAATACAATTCTGACTTAACCCATGATGGCCGAGTTACAAAAATGTCGACAACACTTCCATTACCTGGAATAAGTTTTATACACAACAATTTCTTTTCAAACAATTCAGAGTGCAATTTTTAAGGCAGTGGATTTTCCATCAAAGGTTTGAGATAATATTCATTATTATTAAAATTCGATTTAGATTTATACTAAGAAAACGAAGAACCTTACTTAAGATAAGAACGCTAAACAATAGGATAGGAATTTAAGAAAAAACATTAAAGTTAATAAATTTAACATGTTGATTTAAATATCGTTTAATTTATTAATAAGTAATTAATAAGTAAGTAATTAATATTAATTCGCCATCGGGCTCACCATAGCCCGTGCTGCTTGGAACTTTGTTCTAGGTGGCGAATCTTTAACAACAACAACAATTCGCCATGGGTACAATCAGAAAACACTGTTTGAACATCAGAGATATGGAATGGGTACAATCAGAAAACACTGTTTGAACATTAGAGATATGGAATGGGTACAATCAGAGGACACTGTTTGAACATCAGAGATATGGAATGGGTACAATCAGAGGACACTGTTTGAACATCAGAGATATGGAATGGGTACAATCAGAGGACACTGTTTGAACATCAGAGATATGGAATGGGTACAATCAGAGGACACTGTTTGAACATTAGAGATATGGAATGGGTACAATCAGAGGACACTGTTTGAACATCAGAGATATGGAATGTGTACAATCAGAGGACACTGTTTGAACATTAGAGATATGGAATGGGTTCAATCAGAGGACACTGTTTGAACATCAGAGATATGGAATGGGTACAATCAGAGGACACTGTTTGAACATCAGAGATATGGAATGGGTACAATCAGAGGACACTGTTTGAACATCAGAGATATGGAATGGGTACAATCAGAGGACACTGTTTGAACATCAGAGATATGGAATGGGTACAATCAGAGGACACTGTTTGAACATCAGAGATATGGAATGGGTACAATCAGAGGACACTGTTTGAACATCAGAGATATGGAATGGGTACAATCAGAGGACACTGTTTGAACATCAGAGATATGGAATGGGTACAATCAGAGGACACTGTTTGAACATCAGAGATATGGAATGGGTACAATCAGAGGACACTGTTTGAACATCAGAGATATGGAATGGGTACAATCAGAGGACACTGTTTGAACATCAGAGATATGGAATGGGTACAATCAGAGAACATTAAATGAACATCAGAGGCCCCCCTGGGCTATTCAATATCCTCCCAGCAAATTTTACGAACTATTGCTGGCACAAAATTGGACGTTTTCAAGAGAAAATTAGAGACATTCCTACAAAGAAAGGCCAACCGTGTTGTAATTGATATGTGGGCCTGCGGGCCGCTCCAAGCAACAGCCTGTTGGACCAAGCTCTCACAAGTCAAGCCTGGCCTCAGGCCGGGCTTGGGGAGTAGAAGAACTCCTAGAACCTCATCAGAGTATGAGTCTTAATGCTAATTTAACATATACACCCACTTGTATTAGACCCGGGATTAATTCGCAGTGTATAATAGATACACTTAATTAATGCTTAAAGAGAGAGAGTTGAGAATATATTCTGTGGGGACGATAATACATAGTTAATTAATCTACACGTCTGACAGTCGGCAAGTGAGGTGGGTGAGGTACAGTGTTTGGTGAGGTTGGTAATGTTGGAAAGGAGTGAAGGGGGGTGAGGTGTGAGGTAGGTGAGGTGTGAGGTAGGTGAGGTGTGAGGTAGGTGAGGGTGTGAAAAAGAAGAACCCTGTGGATACACTACTGGTAGCAACACACACACACACACACACACACACACACACACACACACACACACACACACACACACACACACACACACACACACACACACACACTCAACTAGGTGAGTACAGTAGTCAAGGATAAGACTAAACTGGAAAAGGTTCAAAGGTTTGCCACCAGACTAGTACCCGAGCTGAGAGGTATGAGCTACGAGGAGAGACTACGGGAATTAAATCTCACTTAGCTGGAAGACAGAAGAGCTAAGGGGGACATGATCACCACATTCAAGATTCTCAAGGGAATTGATAGGGTAGATAAAGACAGGCTATTTAACACAAGGGACACACGCACTAGGGGACACAAGTGGAAACTGAGCGCCCAAATGAGCGACAGAGATATTAGAAAGAACTTTTTTAGCGTCAGAGTGGTTGACAAATGGAATGCATTAGGAAGTGATGTGGTGGAGGCTGACTCCATACACAGTTTCAGGTGTAGATATGATAGAGCCCAATAGGCTCAGGAACCTGTACACCTGTTGATTGACGGTTGAGAGGCGGGACCAAAGAGCCAGAGCTCAACCCCCGCAAACACAACTAGGCAAGTACACTCACACAAACCCCCCCCCCCAACTGGAGGCTTGTCTAGATAAGACTTAACATGTTAAAGTTTAACAGAACTCAATAAATATGAAACACGGTAAAAAGATATGATAAGAAAATCAAATTAGGAAAAAAATAAACACATATTTTATTTTCAAATAAAATA